AAGGGATAAAAGTGGGGAAAAGGGGGAAAAAAAGGAGAAAAAAGGAGAAAAAAGGGGGGGAAGGATAAAAAAATGGTAAAAAGTGACAAAAAAGTATCAAAAAAGGGATAAAAGTGGGAAAAAGGGAAAAAAAGGCATAAAAAAGGACCAAAAAGGGACAAAAAAAGGTAAAAAGGGATAAAAAAGGGAGAAAAAAGGGAGAAAAAGTGACAAGAATTGGAAAATAAGTGATAAAAAAAGGAGGAAAAGGCAAAAAAAAGGGACAGAAAGGGACAAAAATGGGAAAAAGGGTGAAAAAATCAACAAAAAAGGGAGAAAAAGTGAAAAAAAGGAGAAAAAGTGACAAAAAATGGAAAATAAGTGACAAAAATGCACAAAAAAGGGACAAAAAGGCACAAAAAAAAGACAAAAAGGCACAAAAAAGGACAAAAAAGCACCAAAAAGTGACATAAAAAGACAAAAAAGGGTGAAAAAACAGCATAAAAGAGACAAAAATAGATAAAAATGGACAGAAAGTGACAAAAAAGGCACAAAAAGTGACAAAAAATGGCAATAAATGACAAGAAAGGGACAAAAAGTGACAAAAAATGGCAATAAATGACAAAAAAGGGACAAAAAATGACAAAAAATGAGCAGAAAGTGACAGAAAAGGCACAAAAAGTGACAAAAAATGGCAATAAATGACAAAAAAGGCACAAAAAGGCACAAAAAAAGGACAGAAAAGCAGAAAAAAGTGACAGAAAAAGACAAAAAAGGGTGAAAAAACAACATAAAAGAGACAAAAATAGATAAAAAATGGGCAGAAAGTGACAGAAAAGGGACAAAAAGTGACAAAAAATGGCAATAAATGACAAAAAAGGGACAAAAAGTGACAAAAAATGACAATAAATGACAAAAAAGGGACAAAAAGTGACAAAAAATGGCAATAAATGACAAAAAAGGCACAAAAAAAGGACAAAAAAGCACCAAAAAGTGACAGAAAAAGACAAAAAAGGGTGAAAAAACAGCATAAAATATATAAAAATGGGTAAAAATGGACAGAAAGTGACAAAAAATGGCAATAAATGACAAAAAAGGGACAAAAAGGCACAAAAAAGGCAATAAACGACAAAAAAGGCACAAAAAAAGGACAAAAAAGCAGAAAAAAGTGACAGAAAAAGACAAAAAAGGGTGAAAAAACAGCATAAAAGAGACAAAAATAGATAAAAATGGACAGAAAGTGACAAAAAAGGGACAGAAAGTGACAAAAAATGGCAATAAATGACAAAAAAGGGACAAAAAGTGACAAAAAATGGCAATAAATGACAAAAAAAGGGACAAAAAGTGACAAAAAATGAGCAGAAAGTGACAGAAAAGGGACAAAAAGTGACAAAAAATGGCAATAAATGACAAAAAAGGCACAAAAAGGCACAAAAAATGGCAATAAATGACAAAAAAGGGACAAAAAGTGACAAAAAATGGCAATAAATGACAAAAAAGGCACAAAAAGTGACAAAAAAGCACC